GAGAAGTAGAGCGGGGCAGGGGGCGGGGAGGGGCTGGTGTGGCGAAGCGGAGGGGCCTCAGAGGTCTGACCTGGGGCAGGGGACAGACCCTCGGGCTGGAAGGCCTAGTCAGCACTTTGGGATTTCCCCGGGTGGAGACAGCCAGCAAGAAGGATCAAGCCAGAGTGCGAGTAATGTGCACATGTGAGTGATACACACGTGTGAGTGATGTGCACATGTGAGTGATGAGCACATGCGAGTGGTACGCACATGTGTGATGTGCACATGTGAATGAGATGCACGTGTGAGTGATGCACACGTGTGAATGATGCACATGTATGAATGATACACATGTGCACGTGTGAGTGGAACACACGTGTATGGTACACATGTGTGTGATGTGCTTGTGCAAGTGGTTTGCACGTGTGAGTGATGTGCACACGTGAGTGATAAGCACGTGAGTGAAACACACATGTTTGTGATACACACATGTGAGTGATGTGCACGTGTGAGTGGTTTGCACATGTGTGTGATGTGCACGTGTGTATGTGTCATGCTCTGCGTAGTTAAGTTGCATGGCCTGCATCCCAGCTGTGAGGGGCGTGTCCCCAGCTGTGAGAGCTAGTACTGTTCAGACTTAGGGGAGGTGACATTCAGAGGGCTGTGACATCATTACTGAGGTGCGGCAGAGACGGGTCCAGGGACTGCTGGAACGCAGTGCCTCTCTCTGTGCCTGGGAGGAAGGGCCAGGGAAGCTTTGTTTCAGGAAGGGTGGCTGCTCCTGTCAGGCATGAGTGGAGTTGTCTCACTGCTGGTGGAAGTTGGGGCATGTGCAGAAGGTGGGTAGGGACAGGTATGTCCCCAGGGTGCCAGGGCATGTCCTCAGTGATGCAGTTGGTGCCCTGAAACCACATCTCTCCTTTGCCCTGGAGGCAGCAGCTCCTTCCTGCGGCACCAGCTAAACCGGATGTTTAGTTTTTTCAAATTTGCAGAATCAGCTGACTCTGGCCCCCACCCTGAGACAATAGCCCCAGCCCAGCAGTGCTCCTGCGCAGGGTCGGGGCCGCAGGCCACAGCACCCCTCCTCCAAGCTGAGACACCAGCAGACGCTGATGAGGGCCCGCCTTGCTCTCTCGTGTTCCTGGCCCAGGGGTGCTCCCTAGCACCAGCCTTGAGCATTCGGAAGCCAGTAACTCTTATGTGGCAGCTCTTGATGTTGAACTGCCCCTGTTGGAATACCTGTTGTGGTGCCTGCTTCCTGCCTGGACCTGTGGGTGCAGCTCCTGTCCTGCAGCAGACTCCAGGCGGGCAGGTGTGCATGTAGGGACAGTCTAGGAGGCTGAGCCATTTGTCCGGGCAAGAGGGGATAATGGCCTCTGCTTGGTGGTGGTTTTATGATTAAATCTGTCTTCAGATAATCTGGGTCAAGGCCAGAAGAGCTACTCCTTCCTGATGGACTTGGACAGTTGAAACGGGCTCTCTGAAGCAGCGTCACTAGTTTCAGATGTGCCCTACAAGGGTACGGAGGATATTTCACTCCAGACACTCAGGTGGAGACTTTTGCGAGCCGGCCCGTGGAGAGCCATTGTGCAGGCATGGCCCACCTCGTTCCTGGGGTGACATCGTGCCTGTCTGATCTGCCAGTTCAAGGGGAGTGCCTCTCTTTTAAGTCTTGTCTTTTTATTAAGAGTTTTAGTGTTTTTGTTTTAGGAAACTGCTTAAAACTTACACATTTTGTAACAGCTTGAGTAATGCCTGTACAGTAGCCGGAATCTTCTCAAACATATGTGGTCTCTCAGTGATGATTGCAACATTTTGCGAATCATTGTGGTATGCTCTTGGATGAGAGGCGCTATATTAGGAAAAATAGTTCTGAGGTTTTTTAGGGAAAAATAACTGGTTTTATTTCCTGAAAATAAACATCTGAATGGTATATGATGGAGTGAAAAGGAAGGGGTGTAAGGTTACGTTATGCTTTAATAGCTTGTGTTTTAAAACACTTCTTTTACATTTTTGTTCAGTTGCACAATGTACATCAAAGTGTTCAAGCGAACCACAGTCATGTGGGGGCCACTGCCACAAACCGTCATCCTGCAAGTCCAGGCGCAGGAGAGGCGCAAATCGTCATTGGCCCAGATGCCATATTTCCAGTAAAATATAAAACGGGCCATTTCTAATTTGTTTTAAGCCCGGTAACCAGCACAGCCATGTTAGTCAATATGCTTTTGTTTATTTTTTACTGTCCTCGTGCACCACCAATAAAATGATCTCTTCTGAGAGTTGCCCCTACAGCTGGTTGTGTTGGACAAAAAGAATTTGACTCGTTTTATCATTGCGTTAACAAGAGTGCCAATACATCAAAGAGTGACGGCTGTATTTTCCTACTTCTGAGTTATGTGTTAATATCATTAGATGGCCCGTTTTTAGGATGAAAATACATAAATCTTTTATGATTTAGTAATATCTTTAAAAATAATACCAAGTATTTTTACTTTAT